TTCTTATTCTGTTGCTTTAACGTTATTCAGTGATCTCCTCCGACCGTATCAGCCTGCACTTTCAAAGTGTTGTGTTAAAGAATCGCTTTTATACTTCTGCTTTAAATTTGCTGGTTTTAATTTATCTCGCCTGTTTTGTTTTATTGTCCAGCGCTTTGAGATGATATGCCTTTTAAGGTGCTTAATAAGTTAGACTGAGTTACGTGGTATTCGAAAATTGTTTCAAGCTCTTAAAGTACTTCTTCTGAGCCCAGAAAGCTCAGTTAAATATTTTCTCATGGTTTTCTTTGTGGGGGGGGGAAAAAACTAAAACGATGTCAAAGTTGTGGTCGTTTCCTCGATCTAAAGGTGTCTTTCCTTTTCCAAGTGTGTGAAGTTCCTAGCAGCCCGAGTTAAGAGGTTTTGGAAAGTGTGACTGAAAGTACAGAACAGAGAATTGAAAAATGGTGCACTGGGACACACAGGACGCGTTTTTTCGCTGTTTTTTTTTCCTTTCAGCCCTCTGCCCCTGTCTTCGCGATCCTTCACAGTTTTCAGCTCCTGTTATTTTCCTAAGTAAAATACTTTTTTTTCCCTATCCAACTGGTTAAAATAAGCGTGCACATCAGTGCAGTCGCAGAGCACTCTCGGGTAACGCCTTTCAAGCATCGGTAGCGACAGCGCTGTCTGCCGTGCTGTTCCTGACCTGTTACAGGACGCGAAGGGTTTACCCAGCGGCTCTGGAAGCCCACACCGGCAGTGTGACGGGCCCCTTCAGGCTCCCCGTTGCTTTGACTCCAGGAGCCATAAGCCTTAGACAGTTCTGCTGTTCTGCTTCCCGAGAAGCCTCCCCCTGCCGCGGGACGGCGTGGCTAGTGGGTCCTCTGAAGGTGCTCGTGCCGTCGCGTCCAGAGCGGAAGATCAGATCGCTGTCTTGCATTAGGAGTTTCTTTCCACAGACCCCAGCTTGCTCTCCGTGAGACAGACAGACGCAAAGAGAAACTTGGGGTCAGAGCGCAGGGTCAGCCATTTATACAGTACGGCGCCCCTGGAGCAGCTGGGGGTGAAGGGTCCCCTGCTCAGGGGCCCAACGGAGCAGGATTCCTCTGCCGGCTGCGGGATACGAACCGGCAACCTCCCGGCCCCAGGCGCAGATCCTGAGCCTCAGAGCCTCTGCGCTGCGGAGGACGAGCGCGGCAGGGAGCCCGGAGTAATGCGGGCAGCTGTCCCCGCTGAGGCCTCAGCTGTTCCCCCTCAGCTGTGATTCCCCTCCGCTGCGCTGAAAGCCAGCCTCCCCCCGGACACGCGCCGTGGGGTCAGAGGTCTCTGTAAACCAACATGAGGATTAGACGCGGCCCCTCGGATTACGAGCCGCGTGCCCCCCAGTCCCGCAGGTAGCTGTCCAGCTGTGGGCTGGGGGGGTCAGGGGCCCCTTTACACTGAGGTACTGCGCCACGCAATAGGTTGCCGTTGTGGAGTCGGTCCAGGCGCATTCCTGGGTTTAAAGGGATGTCTCACGCCTGCAGAGAGCGAAAGGGTCACTGATGCCCGTGTCGGGTCTGAACGCGGAAGGCTCTTGTACCGAGGCACTGCTGACGTCAACCCCAAATAAAACCGTTTCACAGTGGACGGTGAAACCAGAGCTCCAAATGTGTTTTAGAAATGATAATACCTTTTATATTTTTGTATAGAAGGTTTGGAGAGTCCAGACCAATCTAGCCAGCCATTTTATCAGACTTTCTCTTCTTCCAGCAAGAACCTAACTGAGAATCTTAGATCAATTAGCTACCGGTAAGAAATAGACTGAGAATTGGCCACTTCCCCCTTTCACTTCCTCTCTTCTGTAAGCTTTATGTTTTCATGGAAATTACGTTTTTCATGTGCTTGGATACATTTTGACTACGAGTCAGTGAAAAACCAATAACTTGGAAGAGTGTTTTTTAAGGTGGCAACGAGTGGAAATGAATCCACTTGTTAACTGCCATGATAATGACCTGACTCGCATGCCTCCCTTTGCTAATGACCAGGACAGTACTGTGTGTAGCCAGGAGCAGGGTGGTGTCCTTTAAGAGAAGCACAGCAAGGGAAGATCTTGAGAAAAACAAGATCACTGTGCAGAGCCGTCCCGTCAAACATAAGCATGTGTTACTTTCCATGCAGACAGTACGAATTGAAAAAAGCAAAGGAGATCTGCATCTTTCACAATGTGGAATAGTTCTTCTGCTTCTGCTGATAATGTGCTAATTTTAGAACAATCTTTTCATTCTTCAGATGTTTGGACTGCGCATATAGGAGGTATTTTTATATCTCCTGAAATGAGTGTGCAGATATTTAGTACAAGTTTTGTATTGTGAAGCATATATTTTTTTAAATAATGTACCAGATACGGTTATAATTCATTGTGCAGGTTCGATTTTTAAAACAACTGTGGATTTTCTTATAACGTCTTTTTTAACTCTTACATTCTGTGTTGGAATTTTTGAAGATCAAGTGCTGCCCGCGTATTATTAGAGGTTGAATAGTCAAGTTTGACTATTTAAAATTCCCATCCCAGCTGTTTACCGCGATAGTGTCTGAATTAGTGTACTCATTTTGAAGTATAGATTTGTAGTTACGAGCAAAATGAAAATGAAACTTCTCCATGCAACTTTCTTAAAGCCATAAGGTTTCTTTCAACTTAAGCATTTCGACCTTTTATGCATTTTCAACAATGTAAACATCACTTTGACTCCATAGTTATTTTCACTAGGTATCATGTTAAACCCATATCCCATTATTATTGGAAATTTTGTTAGTAGCATAGTTATTTATGCAGTATCGTTAACATTAGCTACTGTGAATCCTTGAAGATGGTGTGCAGCGTTCTTTTGCTCTTGTACTTCTTTCAGCTGCTTTTTGCACCCGAAAATCCCAATAACAGATGATGAAGGGATGCTGTATTGTAATTTTCCTAACCCAAAGCTCTTGACACCCTTGCAGTAGTCTTTACTTGTGTCCTTGGTTTAAAAATGAGAAACAGTGATCACATGAAGAAGGATAAAGAGAAGGAGTATGTACACACACGGCGTCTTACAGTGTGTACAGAGCCTTGTCACCTTGGTATTGTGTTACAGCAGATGGGATTCATTAGTCTCTCCTTCCCTCCTCCTGTCGAGATCAACGCTACTTTGGCAGCCTTCACAGCGCGGGGAAGGCCTCGGCTTGTTTCAGGACAATGGGTGGATCGTTCTGCTTTATTTTCGTTCTAAAAATAGGCGCTTATCTTTGTGGAAGGGCATCCCGCTTGTTCTTTTGGTCCTCTAACTATAGCCGGGCTCTGTGCGATGGGCATAGCTCGCGTGGTGCAGATGGCTGTCATTACTGCTGTTTTTAGAACGCGTGCTGCCTCTCGTCATCTGGCACGCGCCTGTCTTTCTCTCTTTTTCCCCTCCGAGTTTCCAAAGTATGATTTAATACATGGAAGTGAGCGGCCGCGTCGTTAGTGCGGAGTCTCGAGTCCCGAAAGGCCTCGCCGGTGAGCCCCAGACGGAGCCGGTGATCTGGGCGTTTGTAATGGAGAACACGGGCCGGGCCCCTTGCTTCCAAGCCATCAGACGGCACCTCTGATTTTACTTCTGCCCTGTGGCTTTTGTATGGAAATGTGCCGACGGAACAGCTGGGATACGGAACACCCGGAGATTGGCAGCATGTTCTTAAGTGTGCAGTAGATGTCAACAGGTCTGCAGTCAAGGTTTTTGTACGTCTTTAAGAACACATCCAGAATGGACACGTGAATGCCTGTTGGTTGTGAATATAGTATACAGATCATAGTCTTCCATTTTGTGGATTAAGTTAAGAGGCGGGTAAGTGTTTTTAAATCTGTGGAAATTGAACTTTAAAGGGAAGCTTAAAAACAAACGGGAAGGGGAATGTTTTTACGATTGCTCATTGCCTCTCGGAGCAGGATGCTGAGCAGTGCTACCTCGTCATTCATGAGAGAAAAATCAGTTCCCTTTTCTGGTTTAGTACTTCAATTAAACTAGTTCTTAAATTTTTTAATTATAAGTCGTAGCTTAATACTCCTTTTCTGAATCAGTTGTGATATTCAAAACACTAAAGGTGAAAGTGTTGAAGTTCTTCCTTGGCTGTCTGCGTTTGTGAGTAATTAAAGAAATTAACTTGACGTAGTGAGAGAAATGGAAAACAATGCAGAAACTTGTCAGATGTGTGGGACTTAATATAGCAGGTTATTGGTTAGGAGTTCTGAATAAAGGCTACGGTATTTCAGTCCACGCTTAAATAAAATTGTTTTTTATTCTCTGAACTTTTTTTTTCCCAAGAAGCAATAAACTGTGTTTATGGAATTTGAGCTCATCTTGTATAAGGTTGTGGCAGAGAATGAATAGCTAACATCTGCGCTTTAATGCTTTTTTTCTTGCCTCAGGAAAAATAAGATGGAAGAAGCCTGTGTTGTTTTGCGAAGTTGTGTTCTTCCTTCCTGCCTTCATTGCGAGCGCTCCTCCCCGTAGGTGCACAGTAAGATCCGCGAGGACTCGGACATGGCGCAGGACTCACTGCAGTGCCTGGCACAGCTGGCATCCATGCACGGCCCGGTCTTCCCCGACGAGACGGCGCAGGTGAACTACCTGGCGCACCTGGTGGAGGGATTGCTCAACATGATCAACGGGTACGTGCCTTGCTGCCCCTCGTCTCCCTGCTGGGTCAGTCACGAGCTGCCGCTGGCTTGACCTCCCCTTTAGAGGGATGCGAGGACTGTTTGTTCTTCGCGACTCTAGGATGATCGTTTCGCTGTTTGTAAACGAGAAAACAAAAAATGATCTGAGCTGAGCTGGCTGGGGGGGCATGCCTGGGCTTCTCCTCCTCAGGCCGGCGCGGGGCTGTAGGGCTGGGGGAGAGAGCCGGAGCTGCCCTGCCTCGGAGTGTGCCCCCGCCAGGCCCTGGGTGAACAGGGGTCTAGTGATGAGGGGGTCTGCGACGGGCCGCCCCTCCGTGCGGTTGAAGCCGATGCCCTGGTTTCCTCAAGAGACAGACGATTAAAGATCCTCAGATGCATCGGCCACTAATGAACAAGTACACTAGATGGGCTGAAGAGAGCCATTCCAAACGGATACAGCCGATAACCAATTTAAATATCATGCTCCATTTCCTCTCAGTTAGAGGAACCTTTCATGTGGACTTTCTGAGAGTTTCTTCAAAGTCAGCGGAAATGGGGGAGGAGGGGTTGTATGTCAGAAATCAGCTAGACGTCATTCCAGATGTGAAGTAGGCAGCGCCACCCTGTCCGTGGTGCAGGTGCTGTACATCCTCTGGTGTTGGGGGAGTGTTTGCCAACCACAGGGAGAGCAAGCAAGCCAACAGCTGGAGTGGGAAGGCTGTCTTTGCGTTAACGATAGACAGCTAAAGTGCTGCTCTGTGTGGACGAAGGTAGCCATTTACTAGGTGCTATTCAACATTTGAGCAGAACTTTGAAAGAACTGTACCCTGTGATATAAAAACAACGTCAAAACAGAATGTAAGCGTTCACTACAGGTACAGTAACAGCTTATCTTTCCCTTCTCATACAAAATAATACTAAAATCATGATAATAACTTTTATTTAATTTAGTGCCTTTAGCATCTCTATCTTCTCAAAGAGCTTTTCCGCTTTACAGAAAAGGTAAAAAAAAAAGGTTTAATGAAAATCGTAAGATACAAGATAAGTGTGATGTTCAGTAGTTTGTGTTTTAATTCCGTGCCTTCAGCTTCAGATTATAGTTGGGTCTCTTCAGTAATCGCCCAGTGAAACTGTGTAAACTACTGGCTGTATTTTAGGAACCTTAGTCACTTTCTTGTTTTCATATAATTACATTTCAAGGTTCAACAAGCTGCTTCATGTTTTGTCACTTTTGTGCAGTAAATTCCAAAGCAATGCTGTGTCGTAAGGAAGAGACCTCTTAGCCCAGTATCTTTAGGGGCAATAAAATTAAGTACAGGAGGGTTCCGACACCTGCAAATGGAACATTTGCTAATTTATTTATTTGCATCTTTGTCTGTCAGATGGGGGATCTTGTATGAGAGAAGAGCAGAGCTTGATGAAACCAAGCCGAAGGCTGTTAACGGCAACTACTTGACGTCAATTGCTGAGAAAATGCAGTGGAATCAGAGTTTCAGGCGGTCTTAGATCAGGCTGTCCAGCTCAGCTACACCTACAGGTGGCTTGTGGCAGGAAGGTGTTGGGCAGCAAACGAATAGAGCACATTCAGAGTCCAGATAATAGCCCTGGAGAGACTGTGTGTAAAGGGTTAACGAAAGTGAGGGACTGGCCTTCTGTGTTGCAGACTCTGATATAAATAACCTGCATGTTTCACTCCAGAACCTATGAGTCAGGAGGAATTAATCTGGACCACTCATCTCTCAATGCATTTCTGGTTTGTAATTGACTATTCCCGTAGTCTTTTCTGACTAAATTGTGCTGATTTTCTCATATAATGTGTATTTATTTGAAGCTGTCTGAATTATGAAACACAGAGGCACCTGATATAAATCAACCAGCGCTTTTAAAGTCATCAGTAGCAACAGAAATGGTATTATATAAATATTTTTTTAAATGTTGCAAATCTAAAAACCTATAACTACAGTCAAGCCTATAGAAACCTTTCAGTGTTAAATTTACTGTGAAAAGTAATCACTGTTGCCTGTTCTAAATGAAAGATAATGCACGGGATGCACAGTTTGAGTCCAAGCCCTTCCTTGAAGGAGTTCAGAAAATCACATCTGAGTCGTGGACTCGGAAGAGAGTCAGGCGAATGGTCTGTGGACATGCAGGTTTTGAGGAAGAGACAAAGATCGACCAATAGCTCCAGACAAGCTTAGTAAGGAAAAAGCATGCACTGTTTGAACAAGAATAAATTTGAATGAGCAAAACTCTCAAGAAGGGCTTAATTTGCATTTAATCTGTGAAAGACTTATAGTGTTTAATTAGGCCATGTAATATGTTTTCATGATGGACTCTTTTGTTAGGGGTGCCTTTGCATACTGCGTAGAATTGCGCTTCGTTAACAAAATGATATTTGTAATAGGGCATTGTCTCGCCTGCTCTTGGTTCTCAGCAGTGACCGTTTCTCTCATTACAGTCGCCATCAAGCCAGAAAAAATGTTTTAGACAAGTTGTTCAGAAAGTGGAGATACTGTCGGATGTTATGTGCAGGATGCTTAGAGGTTGACCGTTCTGGTAGGAGAGCAGCAATAGTATCTTTTAAAATCTGTGCAATTTCAGAACATTTTCTCAATGGCGACTCCCCCCTCCACCTTGAATCTCTCTTTTTTTTTTTACCAGTATTGAAATTGAAGATTCGGAAGCAGTGGGAATTTCCAACATCATTAGCAACTTGATCACGATGTTCCCGCGTAGCAACCTAACGGCCCTCCCCAACGACCTCTTCACCTCCTTCGTGAACTGCCTCACTCACCTCACCTGCTCCTTCGGCCGGAGCGCCGCCCTGGAGGAAGTGGTAATCTCTCCCGCCGCCTCTCCCACCGGGGGCAGCACTGGCCGTCGGTGGTCCGTTGGCGAGCTCTCCTTCGGGAGTCTGATTGAACTGCGCTGGGGTGGGGAGGGGGGGCGGTCGGTCTTGCTCTCAAGTCTCAGTTCTGTCCTTGGTCTTGGCGGGGAATGGCCACACCGCTGGCACTGAACTCAAGGGCACATGGTCAGGATACAAACAGCCCCGGAGTTGACAACTCCGCACTGGGCGGGCAGCGCTCGGTGGTCGTGCCGGGCTCCGTTTCACTCGACCGCATCTTGAGTCTTTATTTAACTGTGGTTCCCTGCAGGTTTCGAGCAGCCCTCTTGGAAGTAATAAAGGCACGCGTTACGGCTTTCAGCTGGTGGCGACTGTGCTCCTGAAGATCGCGTAGCTTCTATGCAAGAGCATGAGGCAAACTGGTTTAGCCCATTCGATGTAACCGTTCACCTCTCAAGTTCGCTGCAATTGGAACCACTAGTTACGGTTCCGAACGGACCTCTGAGGTGCTTCAGCTATGCCAGGGGTACCGCGTGCTCGTTGTTGGTCAGTGTGGTTGTTGGGGGGGGTGCTTTGCTGCTTTGACTTGAAGGACCCAGCTGCCGGTGGTGGTGAAGTCAGTATGGGGGGGGGTTCAGACAGCTGTGAGTCTGCAGAGCGAGTGACGAGCAATCTGGCCTCTCCCCTGGAGCGGCGTGCTGAGCCACCCCGTCCCAACGCGCGCTCTCTCCGCAGCTGGACAAGGACGACATGGTGTACATGGAGGCCTACGACAAGTTGCTGGAGTCCTGGCTGACCCTGGTGCAGGACGACAAGCATTTCCACAAGGGCTGCTTCGTGCAGCCCGCTGTGCAGGTCTTCAACTCCTACATCCAGTGTCACCTGGCTGCGCCCGACGGCACCCGCAACCTGGTGAGGCTGTGCTCAGCGCAGCTCGGGGTGGGGGGGGTGGGGAGGGAGCCTGTTGCAGTCAGTCTGTCGCCTCCGCTGGGGGGGGCGGCGCATATTAGCAGTGTGATGCAATCCTGGTGCCTGCTGTTGCCGTCGGGACATAAGTGAGTGCTGCTATCAAAAATGGAAATGCCGTCTGCATCAAACGTTCTGCTGAGATAGTGAAAGGAGAGCAGTGTGGGTTTTCCTGGTCCTCAGGTGTACGCATGGGAGTAAGAAAAATGCCACCTGCGGTTTCTTTGACTTGAGCTTGGGCTTGGGCACTCTTGTGGTGTGAGATGTCATAGACACCACGGTGGAATTTAATCGTTTTTTCTGTGCATATGTACGTCGGGCACAGAACAAAATCAGCTTCTGATTTTACCTCTGAGCCCCTGTTTTGTGATTCTGCTTTTGTCCGTCTCTGCCTGAAACTGCGGACAAAATGTCGATGTTGAGGAGGTGGGCCAGTGAGAGCTAGAGGCCTCTCTCTCTCCGTCAAGTGTCGACTCATTCTCATCTTCTCGTTTTGAAAAATTGCAGACCGCTAACGGAGTGGCCTCGCACGAAGAAGACGAAATTAACGAGCTGCAGGAAGACGACCGGGAATTGTTCTCCGACCAGCTGGCCAGTATAGGCATGCTGGGTCGAATAGCTGCTGACCACTGCATCCCTCTCCTCACCAGGTAGAGCTCTACAGCTCGGGGCCCATGTGGGTCCAGAGAAGCACGGCCTGGCGAAAGCGCGCACGAATTTAAACAAGCTCTCGGTGAAGCTCCTCCGTTAGGACCTTCATGTCTCCTGAGCGCTGTGTCGGTCTCCCAGAGTGCTGTCTTTGTGTTTGTGGACAGAGCTGACCTTTCCCTGCCTGCTGTACCCCTGCTCTCCGCGCTGCTCTTGGGGGGGGAGGAGGAGTGTCTGTGGTGACCGTGTGTCTCTCTCTCTCTCAGTCTGTTAGAAGACCGGGTCACCAGGCTCCACGGACAGCTCCAGCGGCACCAGCAGCACCTGCTGGCGTCCCCAGGGTCGGGCTCTGTGGACAGGAAGGTGCTGGACGACCTCTACGAAGACATCCACTGGTTAATCTTAGTCACAGGTAAGGCATTCTGTCTTCTTGCGTCTTTGACTGCGCCGGCGCACATCAGTCTGTGAGCATTCTCTGCTCGCATCCTTCTATGACAGTGTTCAATTTGCAGAATCCCTAAATATTTATAAAAATTGCAGGAGACACTAGCGGAGTCCGTTTGCACCAAATGAAATGACGCCCACTGGGATCTGAGATCTTACAGATAGTGCTGATGCCTTGTAAAACAAGAGGCACAGAGAAAACGAAACATGGCACAGGACCAACTGTATATGGATATGATTCGGGAACACCTGTTGAAAATGGTGAAAATGAATACATACCTTTTAAGATGCTACCTTTTCTGTTAATGATTTTAACAGAATCATTAACAGAATCATTAACATCCCACTGGTGTGTTTGAAATTGTAGGTCTTGTTCCAGAAGTCTCTCGGAACATTATTTTGAAGCAGAATGAGCTTGTTTTCACAAGTCACTTCCGTGCCCTGCACCTGAACACTGCGCTGTCAGAGAGCGAACACGCAAGATTTTTGCTGGAGAGCTTGCTTGGACATCTTTCCAAATTGTGCTTCAGAGCACCAAGTATTTTGCGCTAATGAGATTCTTTGCTTGTTAAAAAGAACACAGTTCAGGAGCACAATAGCAGACACGTGTTCCTACCTATTGCAGACGTTGTGTGCTGTTTCTGTGGTTGTAGGCTACCTCTTAGCAGATGACGCTCAGGGAGAGACCCCTCTGATCCCCTCGGAGGTAATGGAGTTCTCCATCAAGCACTCGTCCGAAGTGGACATCAACACCACCCTGCAGGTCCTGGGCTCTCCTGGGGAGAAGGCCTCCTCCATTCCTGGCTGCAACCGGACGGACTCGGTGATCAGGTGGGCAGTGGACGCAGAGAGGACCGTCCCTGACCGTGGCCTGGAGCACGAAACGGCCGCGTTCTGTCGGAAATTGCCGCCCAGATTTCTGTGCCTGAAGTGTCACGGTCCACATTTCTAGCTTTTTTTTTGTAAAAATAAATTAGTGTTAAAAATAAGTTTGGATTTAGATCTATTTAAATGTGACCGCTGGCGTAGTTGCAAAAAGCAATACAGTGGGAGCACAATAATAATATAGCATTGTTGTAGAACGCGTAATCACACCCCTGAAGAATCTGAGAAACTGACTGGGGCTAAAAAGGAGGCCGGATTTGTGTTTTCTGAGACAACTTGAACTCGAATCCCTGCTGTGACAGACGTCCTCACCATCGCGACGGTTTCGAAGGAACTTCTGAAATGTTCTTTGAGTAACGAAAGGGCTTCTCAGTCTTTGCATGAACAGAAGTACGGCTCTCTCAAAAACTGCTTTCTTCAGGAGTGTTTGTGGCAACATTTTACCCAGCCAGGAACATTTAATTTTTCCAATTCCAGTAAGCTCACAATTTTTCCTTCCTGGTGGAAACCACACCACTCGGAAAGATGCCTCCCCTGGCCTCTGAGTCATCTGTTCTTGTGTCGGGTACTGACAGCTACAGACAGTGGTCTTCTTCGCAAGTGGGCCTGGCAGTGTGTCAACCATTTAAAATATGCCAGGGGGATTACATTTGTAAAGACATGGGCGCCTTTGAATCTCTCCCTGGCCCTCACTCACTGGACGCTGGTGCGGAGATTGAGTTATTGAATTGTGGAAGAAGCTATGCATGGAAATATGTCAGTACGATGGCCTCTGAGAGTTTTTGTGCACGGCTGTCTAAATCACCGGGTTATATGGCAGGTTAGTGTTATACTTTCACAGAAGGTGTCATATTGAGAAGTACAGTGATTTCAGAAAGTGTTGTCCAGCAGATCCTTACCTGACTCAGGGAGGTCCCAAGTGTCTGTACGCTCAAAAACTCATGGTTCCTTACGAAGAAGTAAAAACCAGGAGGCTATGTTGTCCTTTTTCCAAGATAAACGGCGCTGAAAAACTCCAGCCACCATTCATGCACTTTAAATACTGAACAAAAACCTAATTGCACCCATCCAGTAATTCATTCCATCACCCAGAGCATCTGTTTACAAGTGTTTAGAGGCTGTACAGAGACCTCTAGTGGTAGGTCCGCTGTAACTGCGGGCCTGCTGCACATGGCGAGAGAGGGAGTGTCTTAAATATCCCCAAGGGGTAATTTGTTTACAGCAGCAGACTATGTGAAGAAAATACACAATCTACACACATATAGAGGTAAGCAAGAACATCATCTGTCCAGCAAGGTTGTGGCTGCAGGTATAAATGAGAACTTGAACCTGATCGTTTTTAAATTGGGGGGAAAATCCATACCTACGTTCTGAGCGGAGTAATTGGAATTCATTAAACAAAGGGTTTTATGGCTCCTCTAGGAGGCAAAAATCATAACTGATCTGAGTGTTGCACATCACTGGTGAGGAATCAGGGTTGTAGTTCAGGAAGTAAATTGCACAATGAGCATTTTCCAGGTAGTCAGCCCAGCTGTTGCTCTTGTCTGGCCAGGCTGCTCTCCGCCGTCTTGAGAGCTTCAGAAGTGGAATCCCGAGCTACGAGAGCCAACCTTACCGAGCTGCTGAGCCCACAGATGGGCAAGGACATCGTCTGGTTCCTGAAGCGCTGGGCGAAGACGTACCTCCTGGTGGACGACAAGCTGTATAACCAGGTGAGAAGGCTTAGCGGCCGTTGATGGACTCTTCATCCTAATTGAAAATCTTGATCTTTTCTGCTTCTCGTTTACGGGGTTGAGAACTGTATAACTTGTTGATTGATCACCATAATCTTGTGTGTGCTGCACCTGAAAAGGTTTCATTTATGCAATGCAGTGTTTTTCTTTTAGATTTGTTTTTTAACCAAATGTTTGTAAAGTAGATTTTTCCCTCCGATCTCAATTTTGTTTGAGTGCGTTAACAGCTCTTAGCTCTGAATTGTCCCCCAGGCCGTCGACGTAATGTACCGACTTGCCTCCTAGATAAGCATACCGCTCAGCACGGCCTTTGGGGCAGACACTGAAGGCGCACAGTGGATCGTGGGATACCTGCTGGAGAAGGTGATCAATAACCTGTCGGTGTGGAGCTCGGAGGCTGAACTGGCCAACGACACTGTGGAGCTGCTGGTTACGCTGGTGGAGCGAAGGGAAAGGTGGGTTAGAGCCTCGTACAGCTTTGTTAGAGGGTTATTCTTTTGCACAGAAAGATGCTGGGCTGAACGTGTTGTGTTTATTGTGGGATTTGCAGCTCCGCTCTCCCAAAATCCCTTGAGGAAGAGGTTTCACCTCTGCTTGAGCAGCAGCAGTGGAGGCTGCAGGTCTCCCTGAGTGCTGTCTCCTGAGCTCTGTGTGTGTTGTGGCTGCAGGTCTCCCAGAGTGCTGTCTCCTGAGCTCTGTGTGTCTTGTGGCTGCAGATCTCCCAGAGTGCTGTCTCCTGAGCGCCGTGTCTGTGTGTCGTGTCCACAGGGCCAACATTGTGATCCAGTGTGAGAACTGGTGGAACCTGGCGAAGCAGTTCGCCAGCCGCAGCCCCCCCCTGCACTTCCTGTCCAGCTCGGTGCAGAGGACGCTGATGAAGGCCCTGGTGTTGGGCGGCTTCGCCCACATGGACTCGGACACCAAGCAGCAGTACTGGACGGAGGTCAGCACACACCGCCACTGCGTGTTTGTCAGCTCAGACACTTACATTTAAAAATGCCTTGTAGTGAGAGAGTTGTAGTCTTTCGTGGATAATGCATGAATTTGCTTAGCCGATTACCTTATCCGGGTGACCTGCTTGCAATACGAAAAAATGTACATTAAGCCAAAGTGCAAAGAACACCTTGAATGAGAATGATAAAATAAAACGACGACAAGGCTAGCAAGAACTCTGGAAGAAAAGTACAAGTGCCTCACAAGTGAAAACAAGAATGAGAGCAGTCTACAGGCTGAGTTGATGCGACTGTGATGTAAACGTTGGTATTACACCTTGTTTACAGTACGGGCAATCGGCAGCGTCTCGTAACGCGCAACAGGGGATGCAGGATATTGCATGAATAATATGAATGAAGACGGTGCAGTAATAAAGGAAGAATATTGCTGCCTTCTCAAGAGCTCTAACATTGTCTTGTGGATTTGGTCAGTGGCATGCTGTGGATACTCGCTATATGTAAACAAAAGCGTGTGCTTCTAGATGAATGTCAGTCCTTTAGAAATGCCAGTCTTGGTAAGAATGCTGTGGCCTGCATGTCCCAGACGCTGCTTTGTTTCCCTGGAGGTAACAGCTGTCTCTCTGCAGGTCCTGCAGCCGCTTCAGCAGCGATTCCTGAATGTGATCAACCAGGAGAACTTCCAGCAGATCTGTCAGGAGGAGGAGGTGAAGCAGGAGATCATCGCGACGCTGGAGGCGCTGTGTGGCATCGCCGAGGCCACGCAGATCGACAATGTGGTCGTCCTCTTCAACTTCCTCATGGACTTCCTCAACAACTGCATCGGCCTCATGGAGGTGTACAAGAACACCCCCGAGACCGTCAACCTCATCATAGAGGTTTTTGTTGAAGTTGCACACAAACAGATCTGTTACCTGGGAGAGGTGGGTGAAAATGAGTGTTCTTCACATCGTGCTAAACAGCCAAGAGACTAGCCAAGCGTGGGCCTTGCCTCAGTCTTCCTTGGTGCAGCTTAACTGAGTGTCTCGGTTTCATCTCTGTGAAGTTACTAACAATGAACAAACAACCTACTAACAGCACGACCAGTGAAACCCACTGCTTTTGTTAGTGCTCTGGTTTTGTGCTGCTTTTGTTCCCGAGATATTTTCCTTATTTCTTCAGGGACGAGACGTCACTTAAGATCAGATAAGATCACTTTATTGGCCATATACAATTTCTTGTATTAAGAATTTGTCTTTTCGCATACCCCAGCTTGCTCTCCATGAGACACACAGACAGGGAGAGAGAAGCTTAGGGTCAGAGCACAGGGTCAGCCATTTATAAGGCGCCCCTGGAGCAGCTGGGGTGAAGGGCCTCGCTCAGGGGCCCAATGGAGTAGGATTCCTCTGCCGGCCGCAGGATACGAACCGGCAACCTTCCAGCCACAGGTGCAGGTGCACCGCCCAGAAAGGCACCGCTGGGATTTGAACCCAAGATCTTCTGTTTATTACACAGGCGCTTTAACCAGCTTAGCCACGACCCCTACAACGGAGCAAGAGAACCGTACCACTCCCGTTTGTTTGTGCTCCGTCAGCGCCTTCGTTTTTCGGGGTGTGACATCACTGAGCCCCCCCGACAACAACCACAACCGTCATGTAACTCCCTGAAAAGAGAAGGCTTTATATCTCAAGAACAAATACACCTTGGTTGGCACTTTCAATGGAGCGCAAACAGATGTGGTGTGGGTTTCTGTGTCATTGGTGTAGGGAGACCAGCTTCATAGAGCTTCACTGAGTCACAAAAAGCCCTACTGGTTATCAAAACCCTGGTAAAACTGCCTTTCTGTATACTGACTGGAGACGAAGTTTGAGAGGACACTGCAGAACAGCTGTTATTCAACCCCTCTGTGACTTAAGATTGAGAAATGGTTTGGCATTTATAGTACCGTTGTTGAATACAGTTTTCTTTTCTGCTCAGTCAAAGTCGATGAAGCTGTACGAAGCCTGCCTGACCCTGCTGCAGGTCTACTCCAAGAACAACCTGGGCCGGAAGAGGGTGGATGTGACTGCCGAGGAGGACCAGTACCAGGATCTGCTTCTCATCATGGAGCTGCTGACAAACCTGCTGTCCAAAGAGTTCATCGACTTCAGTGATACTGGTGCGCAGCACGAGTGCGCACGGTCTGCAGCGGCGCTGGGCTTGTTTGGTTCCGTTTACCAAAAGAGCAATCTGTTGAGCTCGGGGGAGAAAATCAAAAGAAAGTCATGGGCTAAAAGAGTGGCGTGCTCACTGCTTGGGTACAACTTCAGAAATAGTTGTGCTTTGGGATTTTTATGTGCGTGCATTTTTAAATGTCCATGTGTGCACCTATAACACGTTCAAGCCTCTCTGCTCACTGGAGAGAGAAAAGGGCAGTGTCCCTGAACATTTGCAGGGTAACCTGTGAAAGTTTGTCATAGTTTGTTGTTCTCACTGTCTACTTGGAGGCTACATGGATTACTGGAGGGCTGTTTGAAGAAGTGTATCAGATGTCTTGCAGTGCTGAGTGACTGTATGGTTGCCCTGGTTGGAAGTCATTCCTGTCGTCTTTGACTTTGTTCCAGATGAAGTGTTTCGAGGGCAGGAGCAAGGCCAAGGGGCAAACCGGTCGGTCTCTGCTGCAGACGTGGTCCTGTATGGTGTCAACATTGTGCTGCCTCTCATGTCTCAAGACCTGCTGAAAGTAAGCGTCCTTGCTTTCCAAGGCTGCAAAGAAGTCGGCGTTGAACTTGGCTCACATTTTTATGACTGTTTTTTTTTTACAAAATGCTGCCATTTACATCACATGATAAGAGAAGATAGATCACTTTATTGGCCATATACAATTTCTTGCATTAGGAATTTGTCTTTTCACATACCCCAGCTTGCTCTCCATGAGACACACAGGCAGTGGGAGAGAAGCTTGGGGTCAGAGCACAGGGTCAGCCATTGTACGGCACCCATGAAGCAGTTGGGGTTAAGGGCCTAGCTCAGGGGCCCAACGGAGTAGGATTCCTCTGCCGGCCGTGGGATTTAAACCAGCAACCTTCCAGCCCCAGGCACAGATCCTGAGCCACAGATACGCCGCATTCGCCCCAACTCCAGATTTTAAGTTGATATGGAGTTGGAGTTGATATGCTTTCACTTCCAGATTATAAGGAAAAGATTTTTCATTGTATTTAGCTCAGTCCCCCCTAGTGTGTGTTAAAGGGAGGGGCTGTGGCTGAGTTGTGAGTGAACTAATAGGAGTGCAAGTTCAGCCTTTACATAGACTTTACTAGTGGCTGCATGGGCTGTCTCATTAGTTGACTGTGAAAAAGCTTCCCCACAATGTGGTGCACAATATAATTGAGAGCAGTATCTTTGCTCCAACTGATGCTGCTCAGTTGTAGACCCTGTTGGGCTCACAGCACATAAACCATGGAGAGCTGTCATAGTTCAAAAGGTGATCTACAGCACTTCTTGAATTCTTACTGCCTTAGTAGACCTAAATGTTGATAATCGCTCATACCCATAACCACAGTCTTCCCGTGTGGTTGTAAAGTGCCTTGCAAAAGTTTTTGTTCCCTGCCAGCTACGTATTTTGATGAATTACAAATAATATACTAATATAATGTATACTTCTTTTTCAAATGATCTTCATTATTGAAAACTGAAAAGAGCAAACTGAAAACTTGTATATATGAAGGATGTTTAATGGAGGTAAAACCACCAGATAATATGCCAGTACCCAAGAGAAGTTAAACAGACTACTTTGGTGGGCAGTAACTGCTGCAGGTCCCATCGGGTCTTGATCTGGCCACCGCCTGGGTGGTGTAGCATGTGTAATGGACTTCCTGGTGTTGTTTCTCTGCTGCTCTATGACTGACTTCTTTTGAAAGGTCCTTGGTTTCATGGATGGTTTTCTCATTACACTATGTGAGCTGTGGCTTTTCAATTTAATGTCTTACTCAGGGGAATTACAAGAAATACGCAGTCTAATGAACAACTAGAGCTATTCAAGCAGGCTGTTGTGCTCATTTACTGACAGTTCACACTTATAATTTGCAGTTGCGTTGTTATTTCATTGCAAGTCGCTGTACCCCCTAACGAGCCTAAATATCAGCTGATGTTTTTTTCCAATTTTAAACACGCTTTGCATGATTGGCCTGTCTGACACTGTTTTTCTGCTGTTTCCCCTTCGACAGTTTCCGTCACTTTGTAATCAGTACTATAAGCTCATCACCTTCATCTGTGAAATTTTCCCTGAGAAAATCCCGCAGCTCCCTGAAGACCTGTTCAAGAGCCTGATGTACTCTCTGGAGCTTGGCATGACCTCGTATCCTTTATTGCTTGTGTAGGATGTGGAGCAAGAAATGTATTTCAGCAAGCTGTTAATATAAAAAGGGTACTCTCTCTGAAAATGTTTATCTTCAAGTCTGGTAAAAATGTAAGTTTTACCCCGAGTTATATTGCTTTAAGGGAAGGAAGTAGTTAGCATGGTTTGGTATTCTTGCAAAATTCATCCACAAGACTTTTGCTGAGGACTTTTTGTAGTGATTTTACTCTGAAAGCTTTTGTCCTTAACTAGGATTTTTCAGGATGAGCTCTGAGGTCAGCCAGCTGTGTCTAGAGGCTTTGACTCCTCTGGCAGAGCAGTGTGCCAAATCACAGGAGACTGACGCGCCCCTGTTCATCGCCACCCGGCACTTCCTAAAGGTAGGAGCTGGATCGAAGGACCTGAGTGCTTAGCGTTCTGTCTGTAGTGCGAATGAAAGACATTCTGGTCCTGAGAGGTGTAGAATTGACTTTACTAATGTATAGCATTTAGAGCTTTTTTAAAAAAAAAACACTTAAGTGCTATGGAGTTGGGGAATTCATTTATTAGAAGCTGTGATTACAAATAAAAATACGCTCTTGTGCAGGATAAGGCAGGAATGTAGTATGTAAAAAGACGTGCCTTTGTTGTCACTGTATAATATTTTATGTGAAATAGCGATGCATGTGGTTGTTGTCTCAGTTTCATGAAAATATTTTTTCTCTTTCAACTTGCAGCTCGTCTTTGACATGTTAGTGCTGCAGAAACACAACACTGAAATGACTGTAGCAGCAGGAGAAGCTCTGTATACGCTAGTATGTTTGCATCAGGTAAGTAGCCTTTGCAAGGAGAAAAACAGATTTCTGCAGATTTTATTCATGCGCCTTGTGGTTAAAGCCAAACCAGCAGCTGTATCATCCCATCAGATATTGCCAACTGCGGTATCGCCCTGCAGCTCCCAGCTGGCAGCCCACTGGAGCTCAGCAGGTGTGAGCCTGGTCAGTACCTGGGTGGGAGACCTCCTGGGAAAATGAAGGCTACTGCTGGAAGAGGTGTTAGTGGGGCCAGTAGGGGATGCTCACCATGCAGTCTGTGGGTCATAATGCCCCAGTATAGTGATGAGGACAGTGTGCTGTGAGAAGGAGCTGTGGATGAAATGTAAAACCAAGGTAAAAATCCCAGGGCATTTCTTGAAAAGAGTAGGGATGTCTCCCCGGTGTCCAGGCCAAATTTCCCCCGGCCTTTACCAATCATGGCCT